TAGTATCTGTTTCTTTTAAAACACAATTAGTGACTTTTTACTAATTGTAAAGGCCATCCTCATTTCAAACAACAGATTGAGTTCGTTAAAAAAAATTGACTAGGTGGATTCTCACCAGGATTGCGAAGTTTGGTCCTGTCTTCTTAACTAAGACAGCGATGCTCTCAAGCATTGTGTACCACGCTAGACCTTTCTCTGAAAGGTTCACAGTCACCACCACCCCCACATCGCACTGTGAAATGCTGCATTTTACACGGATGTTTCCAGGTCTTGTGCTCACAGCACAGCCCACATGGACGGCATCTGATGTGTGGTCAGCAACACTTTCCGGAAGAGGGAAGGAAGAGCCTCACCCACTCAGTTCTTTGGGGCTCCTTGATCTGCCCTGGCAGCCCGTGTGGACACAGGGCCTTTGGGGGAAGCTCTGGGCGGGGCCCTCATTCTCTCAAGGCCTCAGGTGAGCCGAAAGGCAGAGCTGGACTGCAGTGTCAGAGGAGCCATTAAAGCTACACCCTGAGACCAGAGACGGGAAGCCTGGGTCATGTACTTGGCTGGGACAGGCAAGAGTCTGAAGTTGGAGGATGTGTCGACTCCCCGTTCTCTTTCCCCCACTGACCAGCACACAGGTCTAGAGCCAGAGTGATCTACAGAGACGTGGGGTCCTCACGCTGTCAGGGAGCCCTGAACAAAAGGCTCCTGCAGTTTTAGGGACCCTGAAGTCATGGAGTTGGGAAGGGCTTGGAGCAGGAATTCCCTGGGAACTGAGTCATAGCACGGAGGTGGCTTTAAGCTCTTGCCCTCCCCCGCCGACGAGGAGGTCTTAGCAGATGCACCTGGAGGACCTCTGCCCGAGGCCTCAGATAATGAGACATGAGAATGAAGGTGCTCCCGCGATAGGCGTGCAGATGTGCTGGGAGCGTGACTGACCCCAGGGCCCGAGCCTTTCCCTGCTGCTCCCTCAAGCCTGCCATGACTGGCTAAGCATGAGCCTGGTGTGGGGACACAGCTTCCCCCTGAGACCTGCCCAGTGCAGCCTTCAGGTAAGACCCAAGTTATCACACTCAGGTTTTGAACTGAGAGCCGGACTTCTCAGGTGCCGATCTGTGTACTAATTACCAAGCCGTATGGCTTCTCTGTATCTGTTTGCACCAGTATCACACCCTATAGAGGTCTGACCTTTCCTTCCTGTGGGTGGGTGGTCTTGGACAGCCCCTCCCCGACCCGGGAGCCCACAGCTCGGGCCTGATCACCAGCACGGCTGCACCCAAGCTCCGGCAGGGCTGCTAAATGGAGGGTGTGTTGCCTCTGGTCCTTCTCTGCCGGGTAGGAGCAGTTTCAGGAATGAAAGTCAGAGCACCCCTGGCAGGAAGGTCAGCCTGTGTTGAGACCAGGGAGAAGCTTGTGGGTGGGCAGGACTCGGGCACTGGGAAGGGGTGCAGGGGGGATGTTACAGTGACCTGAGGGGCTTTGCATGTTTACAGCCCTCCCTGCCTCCCACCCACCCATTGCTCTTCTGGGGCTCCCAGTGGTTCCCGGGGTTTGGAAAACTCCCCCAGGTCATTCTGATACCATCTTTTCCTTCCTCAACTGGAAATAACTTCCCAGCAAGGGCTTTAACTTTTGTGCTCACTCAGAGGCCCACTAAGCAGGTTAAATTTAACCACTAAGTGGTTAAATTCCAGTGGAAACAGCTGTGGAGAGGCACCATGCAAACAGAGATCCTAAGGGGAGGAGCCACTGCGAATAAATTCATGTAGGGCTCTTTAGTGCATCAAAACTTCCGGAAAATTCCCTCCTTACACTGACACATGCACACCCCACATGCTTACACTATTTTGACCCTGCAATCTACGGCATAGCAATAAATACAGAAATGAACCTGTTTACAGATGGTTGTTGACGTCGTGGTTATCTATCAGAGCAGCACCCATTACAATGGGGCTGGGTAACAGAATACGGCAAACATATGTGGCACGTCCCTTCCTTGGAATACAAGGCTGTGGTTCAGCGTGGGACTTTTGAAGGGCATTTTATGACAAAGGAAGTGTTCCTTTTATAGCATCGCATGAAAAAGCCACAGATCTGGTGTGACTGTGATATGTTTCCAACACAGCCAGGCCAGACAATTGCAATATAACGAAAGATGGACAGTGTTCAGTGGGGGAGTTCAGGAGGGACCTTTTTATCCACATAATTACTTTATCTTACAAATTTTCTGAAGTGTTTTATTATTGAGATGACATATTTTGAATAGTGCCTATTTTTTTCTGACTTCAAATCTGTCTATGGCAACAAGTAGATTCCATGACATACTTGGAAAAGCTGCCATCCAGAAGACCGACATCACTAAATGCTGGTGAAGATGTGGAGCAACAGGAACTCCATTCACTGCTGGGGGAAAGCAAAACGGCACGGCCACCGTGGAAGACAGTCTGGCAGTTTCTTAAAAAGCGAGACACGCTCCTACCATAAAATCCAACAATCATGCTTCTAAACTGCGGCACATCCTGATAATGGAGTATCATTCAACCATAAAAAGAAATGAGCTATCAAGTCATGAGAAGACATGGAGAAACCTTAAATGGAGACTGCCAAGAGGAAGATGCCAGTCTGAAAGGGCTACATAGTATTTGGTTCCAACTGAATGGCCTTCTGGAAAAGGCAAAGCTGGAGAGGCCGTAGAAAGATCAGCAGCTGCCATGGACTGGAGGGAGGGAGGGATGGACAGGTGGAGGACAGGGGAGTTTAAGGGCTATGATAACGTATTGTATGATACCACAATGCATGGTGGTACAGTGGCTGTGAAAATGCTCCCTATGATCCCACAGTGCCCCTGTCCAAACCCATATGATGCACAGCACAAAGGGTGAACCCCAGTGAACACTGTGGCCGTAGTTAACAAGGTGCCATTGTCAGTTCATGAACTGTAACAAAGTCACCACACTGATGCCAGATGTTCACAATGAGGAGAGTGGGGGCATCTATTAGGGAACTCTCTCTACTTTCTATCTAATTTTTCTGTAAACCTAAAGCTGCCCTATAACAAATTATATTTAATTTAAAATATCTTTATATGCTCATCATGGGAGATTCCAAAAGAAAGGAGAGAAAATCAGCCGTAATTCTGCCATCTAGATATGTTCATTATCACGACTTTCTTCTATTTTTAACCACATCTGACATCATAGTGTTAAGTACCTCCTATATGCCTCCAAATTTCTAGCTCTAGCCTGGATGTCTTCCTTGAAATAGGGACTCTATAGGGTATGGCACTGAGCCCATCTGGAAGTGAATGCTGTCCCCTGCCCGTCTGTTCCCAGTAAAACAGGCAGGATGAAGACATTCAGACGAGACTCAGAGCTGGCCTCTCCACCACTCCGCAGGCTCCACAGGCTCCGCTCCCTCCTGTGGCTCGCCTCACTTGGAGTAAAACCCAAGTCATCCCCTGCCTGTGTCTGCCGGCAAAGCCTGGCTGCCCCCCCACCCCCGGCTTCCTCATCTCCCTGTATTTGGTGCCTCGCACACTGCACCCCAGCCCTGCTCATCTCCTTGCTGCTCCTGGAAGGCACCACACAGGCACCGGCCACAGCGTCTTCGCGCACCTGCTTCTTCTGTAGGGGTCAGCAGGGTGCCTCGCCTTGCCTCATGCAGACTTTTACCTATTTTTTCCTTCCCAGTGAGGACTTTCCTGGCCATCCCAGTCACAACTGAGGCCCACACACCAAGGCTAGATGCCCCCTCCCTGCTTTCCCACCATTCCCACCAGCCTGGAAAGTACAGAAAATCAACAAGAAGAATGAGCACCCTGCCTCTCCCCTCTCTGGGAGGAACCCCCCCGAAGGCCAGCCTTCCCAGTGTTTGGTTCACTGCTCTGTCCCAAAGAGCTAGGGCTGGAAAATGCCTGGCACTTGTCAGCTAAATAAAGACTGGTTGACTGAATGACGATACATTGTAGGAATCTATATGGTTTTTAGCTTGTTTTATTTATCTACTGTATCATGAGATATCTGCTATGGCACTAATGGTCTTTCTTGATGTGTTCATACTGGCCATTGACCGTCCCATGCATAGTGCACCATCCTTCGTGCAGCTGTCCAGCTTTTGCTGATATTTCTAGCTCCACATTCTACACCTGTATTCTAAGGCACTGGGCATGTGGGTGGGTCGCAGGAGAGGACGTGCCAGATCAAGAGCTGTGAATTATATCAAGGTTTTAAAAACATGTTTCCAAATTGCTGTCCAGAGCTGGCCAGACTAAGCTTCCACCATTTATGTAAAATGGCACCTACAAAATACTTTTTAGATACCACATTTATTTGGGGGAACTGAGGAGTCTTTTAAAAGAAAAAATGTTTTACTGAAAAGGCAGAGGAAGAAGCGAACTTTCAGATGCTTCCGTTGATGTTAGAAGAGATGCCCGGTTCCAAGCTTGCAGTCTGACTCCTCTCCGGGAGCAACCCACGCTGAGCTGGGTGTGGGTGTCTCCCCTGCAGCAGCTGGTCTGGTGACCGGCCACTCCCTGCAGGGCCCAGCCGAGCCTGGTGCCCCCTGGAAACCTATCTCACAGCTGCCCCTTCTTCCAAACCCCCACTGTGTTATGTGGCACTCCTGGGCCTTCCCCGGTGTCTGCTCCAAGTCACTGCATGCTGTTCATGGCCACTTCTGATTAGGTACTTAACACACAGGCACCAGGGACAAGCGGTTTCTCTGTAAGACACCTGGATCCTGGCTCGTCCCCTGGCGACTGTAAGCCTTGTGGCTCACTGAGCATCACATGGCCCTGTATGTGTGCTGGGGGTGTGTCAGCATTTCACAGATGGAGAACTCATCACAACCGTTTGTTCTGCGGACAGTGGCACATACTGTGGGCTTCCACTAAAGAGGGGTAGTGCCCCCTCACCTGTTTTCTGGGGGCTGATATCTTGCGGTTGCAAGATAGGCATCTGTCACCCATGGCCCTGGGTATCCCCTTGCTGACCCTCTGCATCCCTCTTCTGCAGGTGGCTGCCATAACAGCCTTAAGCCGACCAGCAGCCCCGCCATCACCATCGCCACCGCTGCTGCCGCTGCCATGGTCTCCATGGACCCTGAGAGCCTCCGGGGCCCGTCCCCCTCCAGTGTGCAGCCGCGCCACTTCCTGACCTTGGCTCCCATCAAAATACCCCTCCGGACGTCCCCCTTCTCAGGTAGGCTCAGAGCACAGTCCCGATGCCTGGTGCTGCCTTAGTGAGGGCGCCAAGGCTTCCTGGTCAGATGCCACTGGCCTGGGCCCAGGTGCTGTGGGACATGAAGCCCAGCTCTGGTTAAGGGGGAAACATTCGGCTGGGATGGTTTGGGCTTTGCTTGACTTCAGACCCTGCAAATGGACCTGACTCCACTGAGCCATCTTGTCAGGTCCACCCTGGCATTTCCTGCTATAAAGCCAAGGTGAAAGTTTCCGGTTGAGGAAATGAGGCTTCTCTTTACTAACTGGAATTTATGGGGAGTCATGCGTGGTCCGGAAGTGCAAGGACCCCAGGAAGTCGTGATTTTCTTGCGCAGGACGTGGAGGTTGATGTGCTGGAGTGGAGCCTGGTGAGTGAGCCCAGAGCCAGGCTGCACGCCGCTCGCCCCAGGCCGCCCACTTGGCTTGCCTTCTGGCCCTGTACTGGACACGGGGGCTGGGATTCCACCCACTGTAACAGCCTGGAGTATGAGAAGCTTGGGCCGCCACAAAGGCATTTGAGCTCATTAGTGCTGTGGATGTGCTCCCTTTCTGAGATGTCCTCAGGGCAGGGGCCGGGAGGGTGGCCATTCTGGTGTCCTAAGAGGTGTGAGATGCATTGATGAGGCACTTGGAGTAGATGGGAGGCCCTGGGTCCCATCTGCAGCTCTGTTGTCCCTATGTGTTCACAGGCATGCGTGTGCATCCATTAATTGTAACCTGCATGCTTCGGGACCCAGACACCCTTGTGAAATGCCTGTTTCTCCAAACTTAGCAACATCTCCATTAATTTGGAATGACAGTGCCAACTCCCAGGAATTGAGGATTTACTCTATTATTTTGGCTTCAGTTCTTCATGTGTGATGGTAAAACTTGTAGAGAAATTCCATGGAAGATTGTATTAATATCATTAATTGCTAGATTATGAGTAGCAGGAAATGAGTCACTAGACTCTGATAGACACACACATAAATATATACATACTAGTTCATGGTAGAAGGACAAACAGCCTAGTTCCACGGCTTTCCGATTTTTGGAGTGTTGGCAGTTTGTTGACTTTGTTGCTAGTAAATATAATATGGTCTTTTTCAACAATGGACCTTCGGCGTTCGCTATTTCTATGTTGGCTTGATGAATTAGTTGATAAGTAGGATATTGTATTCTGAAGATCAAAATCGTATTTCTCTTTCAGCATGTCAGTGAACATGCATTTAGGGTGTGATAGAGAAAATAAATAAAACATATGGATAATCTCGGAGTGGAACATAAATTGCAGCTGTGTCAAGAATTTGGTTAAAGCTACCAGTCCATTGACATATATTAGGGATGACTTACTGTTTTCAGAGGAAAATTAATCTTAGAACCAAAAGCTGTGTACCTCAGGGGCAGCCTCACTTTCCGTATCTCTTACATGATTTATAAGGTGACATAACAATTAGGCATCCTCTCTTGTTTGCCTTTTATAAGGTTCCATGATTGAATTTGCTATAATGTGCATTCATTTAGAATGAGGCCAGCACCAACGTTATCTGTCCTGTAGATAACTGGAAAAATGGGCTGACAGGAAGATGAAAGGGGCGTTACTCAGAAGGTAGCTCCTAAAATTGCCTTCCCATTGCTGGCGTTGATCCATCTGACCTGGAAACCCTGCCCCACAGGACAGGGTGCAGGTTGAAGTTGAAATACCATCAGGAAGCTGGGTCTGAACCGGCGATGAGCAGGTCTGAGCTATGAGCAGCGCGGCCCATCCCAGGCTTCACGGGTGGGTGCGGTGCTGCCAGGGGCGCCCCTGGTGAGGGCTCCATAGGGAGGTGGGACTGCCTGGTGGTGCTGTCCTGGCAGCCTCCTCTGGACTTGGGAGCGAGGCTGTCATGCCCATGAAGAAAACCATCCTAATATGTCCCTGGGGTACTTTTTGAAAACCAAGACTTGATGAGGTGGGGGGATAGAGAGCTGGCCTATCTGTACCCTTAGGGCTGTTTTCTAAACCACCGCAAGAGCCCCACAGAACGACGGGAGCAAGGCGTCGTCTCTGCTGATGGGCGGTCTCAGCGAATGCTCAGGCAGCCGCCTAGGAAATTTCTGACACCCCTTAAAATGGATGAACTGGGCAGGGGCAGGACAAGGATGAGCTATCCCATGGAGGGCTGGGTGGAGGGAGTGGCCTCTGCCTGCGGGAGAGGAAACAGAAGGACGTCAGTGCGAAGCAGGTGCTGATGGACTCAGAGGAACACAGCTCGCTCCCAAGTTTGCTCTATATTCAAACTGATTTTACAAAAGCTTGTGACCTTTAATTTATCTACAGAAGAATTATCCTGTTTTTATTTGGAAGATAATTCCCACTTTATATAAGTGAGCTTGACTGTTGTACTCACATCCCTGGCTTTGGTATAAAAGTCAGTAACCTCAGAGCTCCACGTGGTCCCCAACTGGAGACAGTTCTGCACCCCAGAGGATATTTGGCAGTGGGACTATCCGTGTGTTTTGGTTGTCATGACTTGAGGGTTGCCACTGGGATCTGGTGGGTAGAAGCCAGGGAAGATGTCACAATCCTACAACTCCCAGGCAGCCCCCGTGGTAGAAGCATCTGGCCCAAAGTATAGGTAGTGGCTCTGTGGAGAAACCGGGATTTGTATTATTCGAACTCTGCTTAAGGCACCGTGAAAAGCTGTCTGGGTACCCGGATACGCTCATCTGGGAGAGTTAATATGGCACTACCCTGACCGTGGAGGAGCAGGCTGTGTGTTGGAAAGAACCCACAGTCATAAAGCTTGCACAGAATTCGGTGCCTTGCATGAGATTTAGCTTAACTAAGATGCCACATAAAACTTAATGCAAAGCTGCACAGAATTCGGTGCCTATGCTTGAGATTTAGCTTAACTAAGATGCCACATAAAACTTAAAGAGCTGTGGACCTGGAAGGAGCAGGCTCTGTGTTGGAAAGAGCCCACAGTCATAAAGCTTGCATGGAATTCAGTGCCTTGCATGAGATTTAGCTTAACTAAGATGTCACATAAAACGTAAAGAGCCCGTGACCAGGTCCGGATTCAGCCATGACCCGGACTTCTCTTTCAGAGTGGCCTCAGCACAGGCAGGAAGGCTGGTCCCTGCTGCCCTCCCAGGGGACGGAGTGTCCCTTGGCCTCTGCTTCACAGGGGTCTGTTTACCAGGCTGGCCCATCCCAGGCAGTGGGTCACCAGCAGAGGTCACGTCTCTCCATCCCCACCCTGCCTGCACCCAACGCAGCAATTCCCCTGGCTCCAGGGACAGCACTCCCTTTTGCGCATTGATAGGCCCAGCAGAGCCTGCTCCTGTTCCACTCACTCACAGAGCTGGCTTCTTTCTTTCTTTCTTTCTTTCTTTCTTTCTTTCTTTCTTTCTTTCTTTCTTTCTTTCTTTCTTTCTTTCTTTCTTTCTTTCTTTCTTTCTTTCTCTCTCTCTCTCTCTCCCTCCCTTCCTTCCTTCCTTCCTTCCTTCCTTCCTTCCTTCCTTCCTTCCTTCCTTCCTTCCTTCCTTTCTTTCTTCCTTTCTTCCTTTCTTTCTTTCTTTCCTTCTTTCTTTCTTTCTCTCTCTCTCTCTCTCCCCCTCCTTCTCTCCCTCCCTCCTTTCTTTCTCTCTCTCTCTTTCTTTCTTTCTTTTTTTCTTTCTTGTGTTCCTTTCCCTTTCTTTCTTTCCTTCCTTCCTTCTTCCTTTCCTTTCCTTTTCTCTTTCTTTCTTTTTTTTTCTTTCTCTCTCTCTCCTTCCCCCTTCTCTCTCTTTCTTTTCTTTACTCTTCTTTTCTTTCTTTCTTTTTCTTGAGATGGAGTCTCGATCTGTCGCCCAGGCTGGAGTGCAGTGGCATGGTCTCAGCTCATTGTAACCTTCACCTCCTGGGTTCAAGTGATTCTCCTGCCTCAGTCTCCTCCATAGCTGGGATTATAGGTGCACACCCCCATGCCCAGGTAATTTTTGTATTTTTAGTAGAGACGGGGTTTCACCATGTTGGCCAGGCTGGTCTTGAACTCCTGACCTCGTAATCTGCCCACCTTGGCCTCCCCAAGTGCTGGGATTAGAGGCATGAGTCACTGTGCTCAGCCAAAGTGATTCTTCTTTTAAGAAAGACAGCACTTATTTTTAAAATTTGACCCACCATGACTGAAGCGTTCGGGCGAGAAGAGTGAAATATGAGTGAGTACTTTCAGTCTCTGGTAGAGCAGGTAACTACCAAATAGATATTAAAAAGGGCCATCTGCCTGGGAAGCCATTTGCCACCTGTTCTTTGCTTCCAGAGCTATTTAATGGTTTAAATTTAACATTTTGTCCTGCCACAGAACAGCTGGGAAGTGACTATTTTTTTGTTCTATCAGTAACTTACCAGCCAAGCTACCTAACAAGTCAGAAAGTCTCCAGGCCAGAATTCCACCACGCAGCCTTTCATGTGGCTGTCGGCTTTCCTCATTAGCAAAATCTGCAGATGCTGAAACAGGTTCTATAACAACAGTAATTCAGACATTTGGGAATAAGGTCTTTTTTTAACTCATCCAGGAATTGTTCCCTCCTCCACTATAATCAAAAATGTCATAATACATATTAACATTTTAAAGATTTTCAGAGACAAAAATACTGTAACAATGTAATTGCTTATACCTCAAGATTCCTGAAACTCATCGGGCTTGTGCGGGAAAGACGTGTTCATTTCTAGTGGAGGACTGAGTTACCTCTAGTGGAAAACTTACTGGATTTAAACAAACAAACCAACAAAATCCCTTTGCATAGTTTGTTATGCATGATAAGTGAATTCTTACTGAGAATGCAACCACAGGCATCTGAGCTGGCATTATTACGTTTAAGCATATAAGGTGCAGACTTTCCTAAATGGAGACCCCGTTGTTGGGCTCCAAAGGGGAGAGCTGCTTTACAGGGAAATCACTCCCATGAGCAAGGTCTGGCTCACTCATCTAGGAAACGATGCTCCTGGGACCTCGCATTCTTTCTGAGCTGCTC